GAACAAACTTTAAAAAAAAAAAGGAGGAGGAGCTCAGAGGGCCAACCTCTCCAGGATGCAGGAAACAGCACCTGCCAGCCAAGCAGGGCAGCCTCAGGGCAGGCCCCCCAACATCTGGTCGGCTTCCAGCCTCCAGGACCTTAGGAAACCCGGCTCTGTGGTGCGAGCCGCTTGGTTCTGGCGGCCTGGCCCACTCACTGCCCAGGCGAGGCTGACTCCGAGCCCGGCCAGTGCCCTCAACACTAGTGCTGGCACCAGGGGTGTTAGGACCGCAGGCCCCGCCTTCTTAGTGCCAGGACTGACTCCCCAGGAGAACCACACACTAGGCCTGGGGCCAGCAAACCGAGCCCCTGCCGGTCTGCAGGGAGCAGCACTACGGCGCCCTGCCATTCCTCTGAGAGGTGGACACCGCTGCCATGCCCAGCAACTCCAATCCTGGGGAAAGTGGCAGGGGGCGAACGCAGGGACCCACGCCATGGACTTGTGCAACGTGAAATGGTTAATCTGAGGGAGCCAGTGACAAGGAGGTGAAGGCAGCTGAATCCCACATGACCAGCTGGCAGCTCGGAAAACACATGGGGCGCCTGGACATGCATGCCCGAAGTCCCAAGAGGAGAGTGGAGGAGAGGCCTGCACCATGGCCATCCCTGTGGAGGGGGACGGGGTTTACTTCTCACTCGCCTTCTCTCTAATCACCCTATGGCAAATAAAAAAAAAAGAAAAGGGCCAGATGGTGGCATGGTACTTGAGGCAGTGGACTCCCACATGGCCAACTGTGGTTCAAGTCCTGGAGCTGGTGGCTTGCTTTCTCACTTTCCCTCTCTGTCTCTCTCTGGTGAGTGCATGTGCCCTACAGCATATTAAAAATAATAATAAATAAAATTCAAATAAATAATTGTTCCAAAAAAATTAAGAAAATAAAGAACAAAGTAAGAGATACGTATACTATACAAAGATAATTTTTTTTGGAGAGGTTTTTGCTATAGGGTGCGTATGCTCGCCAAAAAGACAGAGAGACAGAGAGAAAGAAAGTGATAAATCACCCCCCAGGGGGGATGGCCAGGCCGCAATCCCTTCTCCTCCATTGTCCTCTCGGGATCTTGGGCATGCATGCACATGCGCCCAGCTTGAGTTTAAGCCACCAGGTCCAGGATTCGAACCGCAGATGACTACATGGGAGTCCAGCGACATAGCCATTACACCAACTGCTGGTCTGAATACAAAGATACTTCAAAAAGTTCCTGGAAGGAACCAGCAGTTAGCGTAATGGCTATGTCGCTGGACTCCCATGTAGTCAACCGCGGGTCGTGCCCCGGAACCAGTGGCTTAAAACTCACGCCGGGCGCGTGTGCGTGCATGCCCAAGATCCCGAGAGGAGAATGGAGGAGAAGGGATTGCGGCGTGACCATCTCCCCTGG